TAAATTATTCAAATAAAAATGAATAATGATTAGCATAAACTCTAGTTTCACCAAGTGCAAAGTACAAAAAAAGTTACCCTTCTTCTGATTTTTTCTAGACAGATTATTCTTCCAGAACAAAGAGTTTGCACAAAAAATTTGCAGGAATTCATTTTTTTTTGTACTCAAAAAATAATGACTCTGCAGCCGTGAATAACTAACTAGACTTTTGAAGCTAGACCACAAAATTCCAGATCAATTTTTGATCAAGAGAATATAGAAAAATAAAAAGAAGGACTAGGAAAGAAAATAACAGGAAGTGACGGTGAACCTATTCATCCATTCTTCCTTTTCCCTCCACACTTTTTGCTTTTTTTCTTGGACTTTTTGCACTGATTCTGTACTGGATTCTGGGGGTAAAAAATGGTCAGGGAATTATTTTTCAACATATTTTGGAAGTTCTTGAATGCTCGTTTTCAGAAAAACAAAGGGCTGGTAGCTGGTGAACCTTAGTTGAAGTACGAGAAACGGAAAAGTGGAGAAAAAAGGAGATACCTGTTTTATCAGGAAAATACAACAGGTCATATCGCGCCCCATTGCGACCCCCTCGTTGCAAGCGCTATTTCTTTTTCATTAAAGGAGGTGGGAACTCTCGTTGTATTGAGACTCGTATTGAGACTAAAAAAGGCCCCGGCGTATATAGGCAAAGAGAGTCGGCGCGCTTTCCGGGCCGCGTAGCGCAGTCGGTAACGCTTTTGGTGTTCTGCCAAATGACCCCTAGGTTCAAACCCCCCAGAGGTATCTAATGTCAAATTTCCAGAGAAATTATTTTTTTGAGTTCCGCCCTCCTTTAAAGGAGGAATGAAAGTCACATTTTTTTTATTTCTGATTGTTATTTCTGATAAATTAGAACATGCTGAACCTCTTGACGCATATGTCGAAAATCACTCTGAAACGAGATATACAGCTGCGAAGAACAAGAATTCCCTTTTTCCCATGAGGAGTACACGAGGGAGGTAATGCGTTTTGCAAAGGTGAAACT